TGACATTCTCCTGACTGACCCCCAGCCCCCCTTCCCCCCTCTTTTTTTTTTTTTTTTTAAATATTTTTTTTGAGAGAGAGAGTGCAAGTTCTAGTTTTCAGATCCTCTAACAATTTTCATTTACTCAACTGCAAAGGAAAAAAATTTAAAAAAAAAATAATTAAGAGGTCTTCCCAAAGTTACCACTCAACATTATAAAGCATAATGGAAACCAGCTGGAAAACCTCCACTGCAAACCATGCTAGGAAAGGTGCACAACTGATCACTGCCCTCGGCTACCAGCACACTCTCAAGCCAGAGATTACACTAGAGGATGCCCCATCAGCACGCTCCATGTGCTGGTCGGTGTTGCAGGTGCCTGGGTCAAGGTTCTTGATGCGGCCACCCGGGCACGTAACAGGGTCACGGGGTGCTGCGGGAGCCACGAGCTCGGTTTACAGCCAGGAGGGACAGGCCTGAGGATGAGGAGTGGGAAGAGTGCCCTTCCCTACGGACCTGGGGTACGGGACAGCTCTGGGCTACCTCCATCAACCTTGGCCAGAGGAAACATCTCCACTGGGGCTGCTTATCCTCCCCACGGAAACCCTTGCTGCCTTTGACTTGAGCTTGCTCACCGTTTCGATTGTGCTACCCTAAGCCTACATTGTCCTTTTTCTGATGAGAAGCAGCTGTTGGATTCTTCATCCCTCTGAGAACAGGGAGGACACGGAGGTCAGCTGGCAGGGATGACCTGCACCCGCAGAGACAGGCCAGCTCTCACCCCCTGTCAACCAATCCCACATTTGCTGAACCACGTCTGCAAGAAATGGTGCAGGTTTGGGCAAATTCACCCCACATTTGATACTTTAATCCGATTAAGTGCCGCACTCGCCCCGCCTTCATCACGTTCATCTCTTCCAAAATTACCCTCTAGTCCTCTGAACAAAAACACCCGCTTCCTCCATTCCAAACTCCGTGATAAACATAGAGCCTTGTAGTACGAGAAAGAGGGCGAGGAGCTTGCTGTGTTTCATTACGTTTGTACTGCAGCGATGAATTTCAAAATAAGTCAGCAGTAGTAGTCATGTTTACTGATTTGGTATGCATTCCCTTCGCTGCTCGTCAGAAATTTAGCACTTCTGGGCATGAGCGTGGAGGTTTTGGGTTGTTGGGTTTTTTTTGCTCCTCCTTTCAACAGATTACTCTATATGATGACATTTTCTTGCTTTTTGTTTGTTTTGAATGAAGGCACTGCCCTTTTTCCTTCCTGCACAACTGTTCCCTCAATGCAAAAGCTATGCAAGGCTGGAAGACAGGAGGACCTTCATCTTCTAGCCTCACCTGGAAATGAGTAGTAATCTTCTCTGTTGTTAACGCCCAAGGAGTCTTGAAGCTACTTGCTGTAAACTGGTTATGAAAAAAAAAAAACCAACCAACCCCCCAAAAAAACCCAAACCAGTCTTTCAATTGGCATGAAAGTCCCCAAGATCTCAGATTAAGATTCTTTACTGCTCTTTACACAGTTTTAATACAGTCCTCTTGACTTGCTGTGCTTTATTCCTGAACTTTAAAAGCTAGGTGAGGCAAGTCCTCCAAGAGGAGCACTGCGACAAGGCAGTGCTCCAGCTCCTGAGATCCCCCCAGACTACCTGAGACCATCCCGGACTATGAGGGACCAGCACGCAGGAGCACACATGCATACGTGAGGGCAGCTGTGCACAAAGTGCATGAGCAAGCAAGTGTCCATCAGCTTAGCTCGTGAGAGCATCTGCCTACTGTCGGACTAAATCACAGAATGG